GGAACATGCCAGAGAGGAAGCTGCACGAGAAGCGGCAGCCATAGCCAGGCTTCTCGCTCTACTGCCAAGTGGGGAAATAGCAGAGATCCTTGGGTAAGAGAGGGACTGCGGTCGGGCATGAGAAGGGTTGAGTGATGCGAGGAGGCACTCACCCGGTGTTGCTGAAGAAGGCCATTCACTCAGAGTCTTTGAGCGACATGGTGTTCCCTGAGTAGAGAGAGATCGGCTGGAAAGCTTGGTAGACGTGGGAATGCATTATTTGAGTTGTGAGTCAGGTGGTGTTGCAATTGCTGAGGAGGCACTGGCATTGTATTGTTGGTGGTGGGAATGCATTATTTGAGTTGTGAGCGAGGTGGTGCTGCAAATGCTGACAGGGCACTTGCATTGTATTGTTGGTGATTCCAATGCTACAAACGGTCTTCGAATGGCACATCACCACAGCTCGTGAGGAATCTGTGGTTGGCGGCAGCATTAATGAGGTGTGTTGTCTCTAATCTTATCTACCATCATTCACTTCTTCCTACCGCGAGGAGGAGAATTCCACATGACAGTCCTCTCTTGGTTAGGAGTGAGAGAGCGCTCTACCTTGAGAATCCGCATTCTCCTGGCGCATCCAGTGGGCAAAGGGCGGTGACTGTAAAGTGCCCTGGGAGGACGAAGCACAGGTTGTGTCAAAAGACAAACCTGGGAGTAGTACACGCATGCATGCGCATAGAAGCAGCGCTGGGTTGGCAAATCCTATGAGGGGAGATGTACCAGACCGTCTTTAAAGATACTCTGACGGGCAAACCAAGCCGCCCTGCATGCGACTATAGATAAATTGCGGTCTGGGTTGCCCTCCCAATGATCACTCGGGCACAGGGGTGGGCTGGTTCACTGCAAGACACTGCTGCTTTTCTGTTTTGCCGGATAATGTGTATGGGGTTGGATGACCAGTGGGATGCTTAGAAAGGGGAAGAGTGCAGCTGATTCCGTATTTTGTGCATTTCCTAGGACGCAGATGATCTCTTTTCTGTTTGATTAGTTAGCTGGACAGACTGCTGGTACTAATTGACAGTGCTAGAAACTCATATCTACATAGTCAGTATGCTTTCTGCATTAATAAGTTCCACCAAAAATGTCATAAGTGGAAGGTCTGAGTTTCTAGATTACCGTTGGGAAATAAGTAGCCAAGGTACTGGCATGGTAATTATTTTTATTCTAATTATTTTTCACTGGTCAATTTCTGAGCTTTGGTAGCATGGTAATTATTCTGTTATAGCGAAGACGGGAGTGCCGGTGAGGAGGATGATTGGCAGTTGACCAGGAGTAGGACTCAAAGCTTAGCAGTCGTATATCAGGCACGAGGGCATGGAGGCGAAACTAGGCTTAGAAGGAAACCTGACACCCGGGGACTGGCCACTGATGTTAGGGCTGCTGTGTTAGCAGAGAGAGCAATAGCCATGATGGCCACTCAGGCAGCAGGACAATGTTGGGTCCACACAAGGCCAGGGCACTGGTCAGGCATTCCAGAGTCTTACCACGGGGTCACAGAAGAGTCAGATGGTTGGTGTGCAGTCCAGCCGGTTGACCAGCAGTAGGGCTCAGAGCTTACAGTGCTGTCCACGGGGTCACAGAATAGTCAGATGGCTGGTGTGCAGTCTAGCCAGCCCCAGGTCCTTACTCCAGAGGAGATGGCTTATCAGAGAGCTGCCGCCCTTTGCATACAGAGAGAAGCTGATTTTCTAGCTGCTCAGCAGGAAGCAACTAGAGTGATAAATAGAAGAAACCGCTTAGGTAGCAGACAGGCAGATAAAGAGGAATTAGAAAGAGCGGATGAGAGTAGGGGATGAGTTGCTGAGACGGAATATACTTGGCCTGCATGAGGTGGTACAGTCATTAGAAAGCGAGGTGGACTATTCAGTCTACCCTGGACAAGATTTTGGGCCTGTTGAGAGGGAAGGGAGCAGCAATTCCCGCCATCACAGTTCGGACAGTCCGGCCAATAGGGCCGTCCTCGATGAGTCTGCCGGCCGTCTCAGGGCCGTTTGTACCTTTGGTTGGTATGCATCGTCCCAGTCGTAGTATTGCAGGCGTTTCGCAGACTCAGGCGTGAACTTGCCCGTTTCAAGTGCCCGCAGCTACAGTGCTGGCCTGGGGACCCTCATCTGCAGGTCCTGCAGGTGGGGCCGAGCCCCAGTCCTTCGCAAAGACATCCAGGGTACATCCAGTGGTGCGCAGGGTACGAAAAAGATGATAACCTGGACTCTTGGCTCACATCGGTACCGGTGTAGGTGAGGACAAAGGAGGTAATAGTGGCTGCATCCTTTCGGCAGGGCTCTGCAACAACATGGTTGTGTTCACAGGGTACAAAAAGGATGAAAACCTGGACTCTTGGCTCAGATCCGTACCAGTGTGGGTGACGATGAAGGACACGCGGATAGACAAGGAGGTAATAGTGGCTGCATCCTTTCTGCACGGCTCTGCAACAAGATGGTTGGATGGCGTGATAGCAGAGTCAGGATACGGAAAGGATATTGTTGCATGGACGGGATATTCTTGCTATGGGCAGCCAATATCATATTGGATCAGTTTCTAAACCTTGTAGAAGCCAGATGGCGCGACTGCTAACAGGCACAGAGAGCAACCGATGAGCTAAGGAATCTGGATCCAAAGAGGTACCGGGATGCTCAGGCAGCCACAGACAAGGTAGGCAAACTGGTCATGGTACCTGGTGTGCGGTACAACAGGAAGATACTTTTGACAACATACCAACAGGAAGATCCTTTTGAAAACGCACCTTAGGTGTCATCCTGATGGTATCAAGGGTCTGCTTGTCAACGAGGCCACGCCCAGTAGGAAAGAAGCAAAGCTGGGAGGGGAACAGAAGAAGAAGCTGCCCCAGGACTGAAGGATGAGGGGTCACCTCCTTTTCATGGATACAGAGGGAAATCAGGAGCACGTGGATGATGTCTCAGCCCGGGAGGGATAAACAGAGCAGCGTGGCAGCGAGGTTGCTCAGGAGGGAGGACTTGTAGCTGTCGCAAAGGCTAAGGGGGCGAGGGGCCAACCATGGTCAAACTGACAAGCCTCTCCGTGAACCACCGTGGATCAGGGAGAAGCTTGACTAGATACGGTCTGCACGAGTTCGAGTTGATGCCTATTGGTCGATGTAATGTGTCCAGTACGTTCCACCACGCTATCAATAGGATATTCCACGACTACTTAGATAAGGTTATCGCCGTATATCTCGGTGATATACTTGTCTTTAGTAGGACCCTGGAGGAGCATGAGCAGCACTTGGATATAGTGTTAGGCCTCCTTCAGCAGCACAAGTACAAGATTAACCTGGAGAAATGTGAGTTCAGGCGCACAAGGCTCTTATACTTGGGTCATGAAATATTGGAGGAGAGTTTGAAGAGCCCAAAGATGTGAAAGTGGCCACCATTACGGACTTGCCACAACCTTGGTTTGTGACTGAGATCAGATCATTCTTCGGGATGACGGGCAACTACAGACCTTTCATACAGGACAACTGTTAAATAACTGCCCCCTTGACTGATTTAATGTGCCTTGACACCCCTTGGCACTGAACAGCAGTATGAGCGGGCTTTCAAGAGACTAGGGGACCTGTTGCGGCTACGCCCGCAATAAAAATGGAATGCTTGCCAAGAAGTCGATGGACTCTCTCTCTCTCTCTCTCTCTCTCTCTCTCACACACACACACACACACACACACACACACACACAAAGATGGCGATGGACTCTCTCTCTCTCTGGCTCGCGCACAAGGTTGCGGATTTTCCACTTTTTTTCTTCTCCTTAATTGGTCACGATGGACCATCCTGCTCAAGCCCGTATCAACTCCCTCCCTCTCCTGCCTTCCCATCCTCTCTCTCTCTCTCTCTCTCTCTCTCTCTCTCTCTCTCTCTCTCTCTATATATATATATATATATATCGTCAAATAGAACTGCCCGGTAAACCGTAGACAGAGAGGGAGAAGAGGACAACAAACGAGGGGCTGTGACAAACTGTTTCGTTGGAGTTTCACCGACTCATCAGGAGGCTGAACCCATATATATATATATATATATCGTATATCATCACAAACAGATATATATATTGTCACATGATATCAGAGCGCCTAAGCGAAAAAACCAAAAAAACAAAAAAATCTTAAATTCGTTTTTACTCTTCTTCCTTACAACTCCCCCTGTTCAGAACCTCTTGCGTACAATATAATATATATATATATCGTCACAAACAGAACTGCCCGGTAAACCGTAGGCACAGAGAGAGAAGAGGACAACAAACGAGGGCTATATCATCAAACATATATGTGGCTTCTTCTGCAGGTGGTTAATACTCTTCTCCTTAGCCCGTCCCTGCAAAGCGCGCCCAAACGTATATGTGGCTGTGGTAACCAAATGTGTCCCTCCCTTTTTAAAATTGCAAGTGCACAGAAAAATAATCATTTGGGGCCACGTCGTAATTCCCATTGGATCTAGTCTCTTTTCCCAAACGTCACCTGCAAAGAATTAGCAGGGATCCCATGCATTTGGAAGGACGTTCGCCAAACTGCTGGAGGTACACGAGCAGGCCAGTAATATATTCTGAATTCCGATTCAGGTCTGTGTTCCAAGAGCTATGGGTTACGGACTTACTACAAACACTACAGTAAAACATACATGAGCCAGCGTACCTCGCCTATTCGCCACAATTATGGTTTCCGAATGTAAGCAAAGCACCTTGCAACACCTTAATTCTACACGTTCTCCTCTCAATGTCCGCAAAGTGTGACATGACCCCTCATCCACGAAGCCTGTAAAACATACTGGTGGATAAGGTCAGAGCTTTGCTCAGTGAAAGGAAACACAAAAGGTCCAGAAGGATCCTTGCATCCAGTAACAGAGGAGGTCTAGAGGGTACATCCTCACTTCGAAGCTCACAAATCAAAAAAAAAAATTCATGCAAAAAAAGAATGGAGTATGAAAGGATGAATTCCAAGGAACAGTTCCTACCTCAAGTGACAAGTAAAGGTAACCCTTCTCCAACCACCTTTTCAAATAGGTAAGGTTATAAGGGCCCTTCAATTGTCGATCACCACCTTCATATTGCCAGCACACAGCATCCCATGCCTGCATTCAACAACAACCAGGCGAACCGCCCAGCCAGACACACAAACTAGGGTCAACGATACGATGTCGCTGACAACAAAAGGAAGATACAAACAGATGGATCAAGAGCCTTGTATGAATGCCATAATATGAAAGTTGTTAAAAAACAAAAAGACCGCACATTTTTTAGGCATGCGTGCAACATGTTCACACCTCAGCGATAGGCGGGTTGCAAAAAATCATTCGACCAAGACTGGCATCTGCACAAACGGATCTCAGACCATCTAGATGGCTGTCCAGATGTACACATTACAGACATCAACCATTCTACGATTCACTGCTCGATTTATAAAACAACACTTGGGTCAGTGCAGAATAACAGAGAGTTCGAAACGAGCAATGAACCCACAAAAGATAGCAAGGAGACAAGAGTCTACGCAAAGGAGGAGACGAATAAGAGGAGGAGAGTGATAAACTATCTGGCGGCAGTCAAACACATACAACGTCTTGTCTTGCCTCCCCCCTTCATCCTCCAGGCTTTTTCTCCCTTTTCCTGCAACCTTGCAGTTAACAGCCTCTCCCTCTATCTACTAGTCTCTGATAAGCACTACCCAATTCGCAAAGTCGCTCCCCATGCAGTATCAATGTGGCACATGAAGAATAACACCAATCCAAGCAATGTCCGCATTCAGGAGCCAAGCAGTGAATCTTGAAACATGGCACACCACTCTCTCTCTCTCTCTCTCTCTCTCTCTCTCTCTCTCTCTCTCTCTCTCTCTCTCTCTCTGAAGCACACCGTCTATCTCAGCTAGAGCGACTCTTGTTCTCTCTCCCACTCTCCAGTTCTGTCTGCCTTCTTGCAGCATGAGCACTCCAGGAGCAGTGCTTAAACTTCCAAGCAGAGGAAGGCAGAATGAATGAATAACCAGGGGCAGTCCAGTATGTTCAGCAATGACCTGGCATGGCCTGCATCCAATTGCCTCCTCCTGTGGCCGAGATCTTCCGATCTGCGCATCAGAGGAACAAGGAAACCTGGAAACTGGACTAAGCTTTTGGATTTGTGTGTGATATGTGTTCCGATCTGCGCATCAGAGGAACAAGGAAACTTGGAAACTGGACTAAGCTTTTAGATTTGTGTGTGATATGTGGCCGTGGTAGACTCCCAAAAACTCTCCGACTGCTTGACTTCTGCGTCCCCATTGAGCCCAACTGTTGACTGTCCCACGGCCTTCTTTCATATCCAGAGGGGCTGGGCACCTCTTTCGGCATTTAAACCGACAGCACACAGCCCCAGCCTTGTTGAAAATGTTTTGCCGTCAACGCCAGCATGCCGTCAGTAAAATAAATCGGCGGCCGGCATCGCGTCTCAGCCTCTGTGAGGGGCCCACGGCTGATTTCACGCATATACTGGTTGCTTAAACCACCACTACCCCCGCCGTCATAAATTAGGGGAACCGGTAGCACAGGTCCATGAGGACTACCGGTAGTACAGTGGGGGGAACTGGCGGAGTGGCAAAATTCGAAAATGCGTCGAATTACCCCCGTTGCGGTGCAAATGGTTTTTTGTATTTTCTTGAATATTTTTCCTGTAAAGATCACGATAAAATCCACGGACCCTCAAATTTTCAGAGTTATTGGGTCATCCTTCTGATTGCAAAAAATTGTGAAAGTTGGGTTTCTTTTTCCGTTGGCCCATATGTGGTAGAGTAGGAAAAATGGAAAATGTGACGAAACGGCACGGCATGTACTTCACCGTCTATTTTTTTTTTTTCATTTTTTAAATATTTTTCCTGGAAAGATCACGGCCTAATCTACAGTACATAAAATTTGCAGATTGTTTTGCCAATTTTTTTTGGCGTGAAAATTCGCCATAGTTTGCGCTTGAAAATTCTTGGCACGGACCCGCCTGCGCCTGCCTGTCGCCACCCCCCCTAAGAACCTGGTCCGTAAGGCCAGGAAAGTCCTTTTTTTTATATTAAACCAAATAACAAGGGAGGCCGGGAATCCCTCCACATCTCACCCCGGAATGCTGGGGCCATTTCCCAGGGCAGGCACAGTGCTGGAAAGCAGGTCCAGCGTCCTTTAACTGCAACACTCAAAACTGAGCAAACACAGTGAGAACTTGATAACTCGCATCATTACATATCCAAACTAGGGTCTTACTTGGAAGCCTCTCAGCCTCGATAGGCTGTCTGAATTACTGTTAAGAACTAGCCTCCCTGCATCTGACCCTTATCTGAGAACTTCACCCACCTGTAGGGTCTGCACCATTTCGCCTCCTTTTGCCGTCTTGCCACCTGGGGCAGAATGTGAGAAGTCCAATTTTTTCTCCACTCTGCTCCTAACAAGTTACGAATAGCAAATTTAAACTTATTTCCGACTGGCCGGCAGGGGTAGTGGTGGTTTAACACCAGGCTTACGGACCAAGGACTGTTTTGGCACCTCATGAGAGGCTGCAGGATGGACTTTTGACCCCAGATCTCTTACTCAAAAGCTACGACCACATGTTCTGCGCTGATTTGACCTCTACCCTTTGCACTCTTGCCGTCCCAAAGTCGATTTCCATCACAGAATTTCACCCTTCATCAGCATCGGCAGCTATATAGATGAGTCAAACACGAATTTGAATTTTTTTAAACTGGAAACAAAAACTCACTGCTTCGCACCTTTCTTTTTACATCAATCAAATCAAAGGCTACCATAATACGACCTCTTGGAAGTGCCTATTGGAAACTGATACGAATTTGGATTTTAACGTGCTGGTGTTTTTTAAAGCGGAAATGGGCCACTTTTTTTGGTTTGGGTAGATTTTGTAAGTGTCACGAATTCAAAAAACTAATAACAAGAATACCGAGCCCAATAGCAGACTCTGCATTCGGCGATCATGTTTTTCACCTGATTTTTTGTTACTCATGTCAGCATTCTCACTTCTGATATCTCCAGCTGTTTTCACAAACAGCCTTCTTGAAATAAAATTTCACTATATGCAGGAACGTGCTATGGCCTTCGGCCCTTTGTTTTATGTGTCAAATTCAATACATGTACCAGTTCACCTTACTGAAATGTAATGGGCATAATCCGCAAGAAAACAGATGCAGTTGAACGGGAAGTTTGTAAACGTGACGTAGAGGCTCCGCCATAACTACTCTTGCGCCACTTTCGGGGTTTCCTTAGGCACCAATTCACTCTGCGTAGATTGACTGAACGCAGAAACCCTTGAACTTTCGGCGCCAGATTTTTTATTACTCATGTCACAGCATTCGCAATAAAGATTTTTCACGATCAATTGCTTTATAAAAAATCCATGTTTTAGGTGTTTCAAAATACATGACTTTCACAAAACATATATAATAAAAGCAACTAATACCACTGGGTACTTATAATTTCCTGACTGCTTACATCACAATCAGCAAAAACGACTTCATCAGCACTTTGCATCAGTTCCTTTCTTCACCTACAAGGGTACCTGTTGCGGCTTCGCTCGCAAAAAAAATGGAGGGCAAAAAGCAAAAACGTCAAAGGGGGGATTTGTGG